GTAGAATCACCTGTGGTAGTCGAATCGTCTGGAATTTACAGTTCCCTTGGACAACGTAAAAACAAATGCCTCTATCTCGGCAAATGCCTCATCTGCTAATTCCAAGAGTTCCACTGCAGTGCCGTCTTCGCTAGAAGCTCTCCCTGTGCTTTGCCGGTTTTGCTGCATTTCGCGCTTCTTTTCGCAAGATATCTGGAGCGTCGCCAATTTCGTTTGAATCTTCAGGTTCGGTGTCGCCATCTTTGTGCCATTAAAATCTTCCACTCTCTTCAGAATCTCTTGCTTTTTCCAGATGACAATTTTGTCTTTTACTTTGAGAGCAAAAATTAGACTTTTCTTTGATTTAATTTCTTAATGCATTGGTTAATTTCAACAGTTTGCTTTGCGAATCTAAAGCAGAATGCTCAGCGGCTTTTTAACCACTTTCTTTAAAGTTTTGCAAAATCCCACATATTCGATTTTTGATTCGTTGCTGGCATAATGCCTTCGCTTTGTGATTTTTCGGTCGATTTTGGAAATGTTTGATAATTCCAAAGATGTTTTCCGCCGTATATCCTGATGCTTTGCGTCAATGTCTACTGCTTATTCGTTCGTTCTTGCCGCATTCCGTGAAGAATACCGGATTTGTTGTTTAATTTGAATTGCAATAGCGAACGATTCTTGCTTACTTTTCTACGTCAAGTATCTGACCTCTTGTCCTCAACAATGCCCTTCTTTCCAAAGTTGAGTCTAGGCGCACTTTCCACGACGAAAAGGTGATTGTTTCATACATTAGACCTGTTGAGCGTCATAATGTTTTGCACTGTACTCGTTACGTCGCTGAGGAAGAGACTAATTTCATTCTTCATGTAGTTTGGACCCTTCCATATTCATTTTGATATTGGTTTATCTGCAACAAAGGGTTCATTATAAACAACTTACTTCCTTCATCAAAATCCACTTGTCGGTTCCCCTGTCATTTCTTTCGCCTTAAAAAATCAGTCCGCAGAGCATTTGTTTTCTTGCTGTGACCTGACTTTGTGTTGAAATCAAGATTATGATGAACTTGTAGTGGCTTTTTGCACGTTCACGCACTTCCATTTCTTCCAAAAATCTTCAAACTCTTCATCATGACGTATTGATGCTGGTACAAATACTTCATTCAGGTGGAGTTCGTATCTCCTTGAAACTCGCAGAACCAGTCTTTCGCACCTCTCTGAGCCACACTCCGTTTGTAATAAATTGTTCTTTAATTTTCAGCGAATAACGAACCCTGCTACCGCAGAACTTTCATCACCCTTCTTCTGTAGCGGAGTAAATGCCAACTATTAAGATGTAATAGACCGATCTAACTTCTCTTAAGAAATAACCGATCTCATCTTCGCGTGTAACAGTTCAATAGTGTCTCACTTGATTTTCCTAACTGCTTCTTCCAGCTCTTGAAGCTTTGCTTCACCTAACGTGATAAACAGTTGCACTTTTACAGCATTAGTAATCCGTGTCAGGGAATTTTAAGCATTCTCTGCTTTTATTCCTGATGAGTTGCTGTTTCATATGCGACAATTCAGCCGCATGGAAATCAGGGCCGTGATGTGCAAACTCATCTTGGGGGCTTGTTTGCGCAGTTGTCGAAGAGGTCTGCTCCGAACTTCGCAGGTGCCGGTATGACTCTGCTCGACAGCAGTCTTTGTCTTATTATTCATGAATTCTATTGAACAAGAAATTTAACAAATATTACTTCAGACCGGGGTTGCTCAGTCGGTAGAGCGACGAATTCAGAACCGATAGGTCTTAAGTTCAAATTCCGGTAAGAGTCATTCTCCCTTCTTCCGCCGGAGGTTAATAAATTAATAGCACTCAATGGGAAGGAAACAGGGGACTACATGCTACGCTTGCAACGTGGCTGTAGACTCTACATTTAAAAATAAGGCACTTGTGGCTGATGGCATAGGAACGGAGTCTGCACTGCAGCATCAACTTCATGAAAAAATAGCATCCAAAGGGTCCAATCATGAAAGTTAAGGAAAACCGACATTCCAACGATAGCTAGCTATTCTTACCTTTCACCTTGAAGGATGTCTTTGCGTCTCACTATGCTGGCCAGGGCTAGCGGATTGATGATTGTTGCCTCCTTCACTTTGCCAGCGGGCTTTCTCAGACTCTTTCAGCATGGCTAACCTGCCAGAGTTTAAATGCTCAGCCATGCATAATTTTGAGAATCAATTATCATCCTCCTACCAACATAAGGCAATGGACGTAGGACTTAGAAGGAATAGTGTTATAATTAATCGACATTAAACATATGCTGTTTGTTTAAGTGCTCAAAAAAATTTTGGCATTCATTACAATCGAAGTATGCTGCAAAAGTTAGCGTGTTCATTCAAAGGTAATCAGTCTGAATGTAGTCAACAAAACCCGATGATTTGAGGAATTCAGAACTTGTTAATAATTCATTTGACGAATAAACTTTCAGTTGAAGAAGCAGATAGAACAGTGAAATTATTTCGCTGTTTTACGAAGATAAACCGAGAAAATGGCGTTAAACTTATCTCTCGGCTTCTGTACTTATACAATCCGATTTCTAGACCAATCGAAATTAAAGGCATGAGGAGATTTATGAACACTTTGCCACCATTTCCACATTTGCTTACCGTTTCTAGGTTCAAAGTTACCCCTGCAGCTGGAGAGAATAAACTCCTCCGTAGTTTGCCATTGAGTACGACCATCAATTTTAATCCCTGTCAGTTGTTTATTACGTGAACACGCGACTTGATTCAGAAATATTGTGCAATGAACGGATTTCACGAAAAGAACGTTGTTTTGGCGAAAGCTTACATCTATGTCTTGAGACAATGCAATGTCAAAACGATGGCGAGTACCGTCCTCTGTAGTTACAATAATCATGATGATCCATTTAGATCCAAAACGGCATTTCACAGACGTTATGGTAGAATAAGACTGCAATATGCAGTCGTGCCATTGCTGTTAATAGCATGATACGTCAATATCATAAATTATTTTCACAGAGAGTGAATTTTGGATACTTGAAGTAACTAGCTGTTTCTAACAGTTGTTTTATTCGCATCTGTAATACAGTCAGTCTATCAAAGCTTGATGGAAAATCTTTTTTAATGTTTCATTCAAAGAGTCAAATGGGAGAAAGACATAATGTTTGGTGATTTCAAGGCTACGTTTTTTGATATTCAGGAGGTATTCGGGCAGATAGCTGATTTGAATTAATCAATCAACGTTTTTTGCTTGTGCAACTAGCTTTGAGAGTAGTAAAATAAAATCGTTTTATGAACAGTTCGCGTTTTGGGAAGCTGTCAAAGTCGTTGGCGAAGTCCTTATGCAGTTATGAAGCTTGAATAAAAATAGCGCGCGGAGGGCTGCTTTCCATGATCAGCATTAGTTTGACCATGTTCGCTGCCTAACGATCATTTGCTGACAATAATGTCAGAAATGTTAGATATCACGGAGACAATTGACTTGGATGTCTACGAGCGGGCGACCTTCTGCGGTGCTGCCGACGGTGAATCTACATGCAAACCTTTGCAAGTCGTTTCTTTGAGGTGAATCGATGTTTTGCCTCAAAACAACGGCTGAAGGAACTAAAATTGTCTCACGGAAGCTGCTGGATCGTCGTGAATAACGAAACAGCAGCGATAGGAAAAACGAATTCTTCTTTGGCAGCAGTGATAAAGCACTAGCTAGCACAAAACAGAGGCGAGGTCAGAATTAAGCCACCACCGACCGTACAGTCCGACTTTTCGCAAAGGATCAAAGAATCTTTCCATATCTCTGCTAAACAAGAGAGAGTGTGCAATGCCACTGTTTGTCCCAACTCAGAGATACAGTTTACGCAAAGCGCATGATTTGAATCAGGTTAGAACGAATTTAGCTGAAAAAAGTTCAGAACGAAAATTCAGTACTGTCACTGCATATGACGAACAAATTATCGCCTGCATTTTCTTTTTCACTCTGCACTTGAAACCCCAATAACATTTTAATTAGCTAATGAACGACAACAGTTTCCCACATTTTATGTCATATTAATTCTTAACACTGACGTTAGCTGTAGTCTATAAACACCTGCACGAATGAGCCAGGCAATTAGATATCAAATAATGCTATGACTGAAATGTGCACTGGTTAAATGCAGAAGACTCTGAGAATCTTTTCATAGTCTTGTCGCTTTTAATCCACGGTATAAAAATGCAGCAGCCTTCTCAGAAAAGCGTGACCCTTCCATCGGCCTCTGAAATTCACTTCATAACACTTATAATTGATAAAGTTTTTAAGACCTGATGAAAAGACACCAATAGAGTCGTGGAAACACCTGGTTTACCAAGAAAAACATGAAGCGGCGTTCCTTTCCCTGGTCAAACGGTATTGTTTCAAACAGTGCTTCATTATACCCAAATTCAGCCATAACCACAGTTTTCGAAGACGTTATTAAAGGGCAAGCGGTGTAACCGTGGTACTAAAATTCCGCAACGCTAACGGTAAAGTGCAGACGAAATTACTTATAAAAACATTGCACTATATTAGTATAACAACAGTAATGAAACAAATAACTTATAAACAAGCGGTGACTGCCACGACCTGAAATAAATTAACATTAAACCTTCCGAAATAATTTTTCAGGTTTCTGATTGTGGACCAGTATTTATATACATAATTGTTTGAATGATTCATGGTTTGGGGCACCAAATGCAGCAGGTGGTAAACAGTTTAAGGCAAACGACAGGACCAGCCCTGAAAATGCTGTGGTCAAAGCAGTGAAACGCGTTGGTATTAAACGGTTTGACCATCTGCTGCATTTGATGCCCCGAACCATGAATCATTCGAATAACAACGTACTTAGCCTTTCGAAACACCGCCGTCGCCGAACCAAAGCTCCGATGAGAAAGAAGGATAGCCGGGGACCGGGGCGACGATTGCCGTGAAACTTACTTACCTGCCTTTAAGGGTATTACCGTTATCAAACGATACCTCAGCTCGGTCGTCGTCCGGGTTACAAAGGGCCGTGTAGGCTGTTGGGGGACTGAAGCAGACTGCGAAAAGTCCGGATCAGAATCTGTTTTTCACCGACTGGCAGTCGGGGGGTGTGACAGCAAGGCAACGACTGCCGAAGGTTGAGAAAAACGCAACGAAGATACCAGTCAGCAACGGAGTCGGTTCCCTTTCTGAACGGAGGAGAGAGATAGTGCGATGCCACTATAGTACGTCAGGAAGGTTCCACGAGAACGACACCGCCACATTTCGGAAATTGACATATATGCCTACTCAGAGGGAGCAGGAGTTAGCCGAGGATGCTGCAAGGTACCAACTCGACATTGTTCGACTTTCGTCAACGGAGCGCCAAGACTCTGGAAATCTGAACCAATGCGGGTGGAAGTTATTCTATTCAGGTGTCGATATCACGAG